GGGAGATTTGCACCCTGCTCTGGCATCTAGTAGCTCTGGAGGGAATTAGAGGGAAGGCAGAGCCCCCTGGAAGAGTTGCCTTCCCCTAGAACAGGGGTCTCCAACCTTGGTAACTTTATAACTTGTGGACTTCAGTTTTCAGAATTCCTCAGCCAGGATGCTCTGGCTGAGGAATTCTGGGAGTTGAAGTCCACAAGTCATACAGTTGCCAAGGTTGGAGAGCCCTGCCTAGAAGGTCTCACCAGGGTCACCTGTCCCTTACCTGCCCCAGGTGCAGTGCCGGCAGGAGGAGGACATGGGATGCTGGTGGAGGAGCCTCCTGGATCCTAGCCAAAGCTCTTACTTTGTCTCTGCGTTCACAATTACGACTTACTCTCTTAGTTAGGCCACTTTAAGGAAATGCTCTGTTCTTAATTAATCAATGCCTTCGATTTAGGAGCATGTACAACAAAGCCTCCTTTGTTTAATGGAGGAAGTACTGATTATGTCTGATCCTGGAGGAAGTAATTGTTTTCTAATACCTGTAACTGGATCTAAGTAGAAGGTTCCCCTTGTGGTTTTTAATAGAGGGGCATTTGTGCAAAGGGCAGAGTTTACACTTTTGAATTATGTAAATGTGTTTCACAGACTGCTTCTCTGTTTTTGTCTAAATGTGTGGGTGTGATTATTGTTTTTCTTGCTTCATTGTCAAAGAAAGATTGTTACATTTGCATTTCTTGGAAAGATGGTTAATGCAATGCTTATCTCAATGCTTATTGTCCCTCTAACAGTTAACCTTTGGACTATGTTTCAAGCTGCTCAAAAACTGGGAGGATATGAAACAGTAAGTGTTGAAGTAACTTCAGAGAAAGGAAAAATTGTGCATTCTTAATTTTCTCATGTTTTTGCCATGTGTGCATTAAATATATTTTTTTAAAAAAATCCACAGTTCAGCAGAAAACACTTTGAATTTATGGGGTTCTCTTTTGGAAACAGTCTGAATTAATTCCAGGCTTGGCAAAACTGTAAACTTGTAGTTAAAAAAGAAAGAAAACCAAAAAACCCAACTCTGAGTGGAAAACATACGTAACTCTTCCTTGTCAAGGAAATTGTTTGGGTCTGTAATTTTTTCCTATGTTAAGAGAGGGATATTCTTGTAAAACTAGCCAAGATTGCGTAAAAGAACATTTGCCTTGGCATAGTCCCTGACATCTGCTCTTGTCAAATGTGGGAAATGTATTAAATACTTTAAAAAGCAATCAGCCATGTCCATTACAGTGTAGTGTACTGCAGTGTCTGTTCTTGTTTTGAATGGTAACAGCCTTTTGCAGAAGAGGGTGAGGCCATATAAACAGGAAGTTATCTAAAGTTTAAAATTAGTGGGGAGGGAACACGATGCACTGATCCTTTTTATCAACTAACAGTATCTGACACGGATTTTATTTTTAGCTCTTGGGGAAAATTGATGGTTGTAGATTTTACAGCATATGTCCCAAACCAACAAATATTGGAGTCACAAACTGTGATTAAGATCTTAAAAGGAGAAGAAAGAACTGCCTGATATGAGGGAGGGAGGGAGGGAGGGAGAAAGAGAGAGATAGCATCTGTAACAAGATCCAGTTGACATAAAAGGTTTATCACTGGAAATGTTTTCACGGCCTCAGATTAATTGGAGCCTTCTTTAGGCAGCTGGATTCCAAACACACTCACCTGGGTGTATGGAAAACTCTAGTTTCTGAACCGTTTGTTTAGAAAGCATACAGCTTGGCTGCCCTTATGTTACAATGAAACAATAGATAAAACCTGAAACGTATTTAAGCAAAACAGCAAATCATCCTAGAACTAGTAAGAAAAAGTGTATTGTTTCATTTTAATAACTATGATGCTAATGGATGTTGAGATGCTTTTGTTATTACAGGAAATAATGAATGCATACAAGCAGTTTTTTAAGCTCGTCCTTTAATTGACATTTGTTCCTTTTGTTTCAGTCTTCTTGCGTGGCTAAATCTGTTCTTATTTATTCAAGAGTAATCTCCATTAAATTTAGTAGGTCATGCTTTGAAGGAAAATTGCAAGTTTAATATGGTTACTGCCATACTTAAAATATGAAATGAAAACACCGTAATTAACACTCTGTTCCAAAGCATGAGGCAAGAAGCTTGACTTTCTCTGGGGGATGGTGCCTGAGTTACCCATGGCCAGCTTAAAAATTGGTGTCCCTTTGAATTAACAAATCAAACAGATTCCCATCACCCTATCCCCAAAGGGTTCTGGGTCACAGAGACAGGAATGGATTCCCAAACAAGGTGCCAAAATGGAAACTGGAAATTAATCGGAGGGTTCTAAACATAGCAGGCATATTGTGTGCTTGAACACAATAGCTTGGATTTTCTGGCTCTGTTTAGCACAAACTGACAATATTTGAAGTTGCTTTGAGCCTATGAGCATTTGGGTGCAGGAAGCAACATTTCCCCCCTCAACTAGTAAAAGCGGTTAAAAAAACCCCATCTATTTTGGAACAGACATTAAATCCTAATTAAGCCAGTAGAATCAGAGGAACTCTCCTGATTTTGGTCTCTTTGTCTTCCTTTCAGTTTAGCACAGGGGTCTCCAACTTTGGCAACTCTAAGACTTGTGGACTTCAACTCCCAGAGTTCCTCAGCCAGTTCCTCTGGGAGTTGAAGTCCACCAGTCTTAAAGTTGCCAAGGTTGGAGACTCCTGGTTTATCAGCTTCTCAATTTGTTATAATTTTAAGGAACTCCATTCCTTTATAGAGTCTTCAGTGCTCCATCCATTTCTTAGGAGAAAATTTGGGTAGACTCTCCTATTCCGGAAAGCTTTTCAAACTTGGTTTTAGGGTTGATCTGATTTTAATAAGCATCTATTTTAATGCTGCAATCGCACATACTTTCTTTGCTGGAGGAAAGGAAAGAAAAGCTTTTGTTTAGAAAAGGAAACCATTTGTTGGACCTGCTTTCCCTGGGCTTTCCTTCAAGCGCACTTTGGGCCAGGGCTTTATTGTCAGCAAGGAGTGCTGATGATGTCCCAGGCTGGTTGCTACAGGACCAGCTGTCTTTCAGGGTGGGAGAGACCTTCTCACAGGAGTGAACATACCCGTTGAAAACGCATCCCATTGATGGTTAAAAGCTTCCCCAAGCGCTAGAGGTACATACAAGAAGAAAACCTGAGCCGTGGAGCTAGAGGTACAAAAGAGGAAGTTTAGCAGCTCCCAGAAAATGTCGCTGAGGACACGACTGCAGGAGTTGATGAAATAGCGGCCAAACTGATTGGCATCTCCTTCCTCCTTGAGGTTGGTGCAGAAGAGGCAGCAAAGCCAAAGGCCCGGAAAAGACCCATTGATATTGGCCCATTTATGACTGTGAGAGGGGGGCTGCTGGAGAAGGCTCCCCAAATGCAGAGCACAAGATGTTGCCATACAGACTTCCTCAGCAGCTGGACATAAAACTGCCAGAAACACCGAAAAGGCATTCGTGACTGAAATTGCAGTGCTGGCCTTACGGAAAAGACAAGGGCGCTTCAAAAAGATGTTGACTTTTGCTTTGTTGCTTCTACAAAGGACGTTGGCTGATGTCTGTCCCACCAGCAGATTGGGTCTCTTCTCCTTTGAAAACTGTGATCGCCAAGAAGAAGAAGAAGAAGAAGAGTGGGAAAGGTTTATGGAGCAACTGAATGGTTCAAGGTTGGGGAAGGAATGTGCAAGATCTTATACCAATGCTTTAACTTAAACAAATCACAAGAATCGTTGAGTTAGACAAAGCAGAAATTCAGGTGAAAACTGCTGGTGAAACCAGGAAGGCTGAAAATGAGAAAGATTTGGGAATCTGCTGTTGAAAGTGAAAGGAGAGAATGCAGAATCCCGTCTGCTGCTCAACATCTTAAAAAAATCAATATTCAAAAGATTATGTTAACAGGAAATGCCAGCCCAAAGCAAATAGGGAGAGAAGAAGTTGAATAGTAACAGACTTTATTCACCCTCCTAGGATAAAGTTTGCAGAGGGATGGCAGCTAGAGCCATGCAACAAAGAGACATTCGCTACTTGGGAGAGAGAATAGGGGAAATTGACACAGAATGTTAAACTGCTGAGACATCACATGGACAACCACAGTATGTATTGTCAAACCCATGCCTGCTCAGTTGTGACATATGGCTTTGAAAGATAGACCATCAGAAAGGCTAAGCAAAAAAAGATGAATGCTTTTGAATTTTGGTACGGGAGAAAATTGTTGACAGAAGCTTGGACAGCCTGAAGAACCAATCAATCATTCAACTCCAGATGAAGTCACACGGGGGTCCTCTCTAAAAGCACTAAGAAGGAGGCTAAAACTGAGGTACATTTTAGGTACATAATGCAAAGGTGGGAGTCCCTGGAACAGGCTCTGATGCTTGGTGGAATTGTAGGCAATGAAAAACAGGTGGACAGAAGGCAATTTGGCCAGGTGCCATCACAGAAAATGGCCCAAGCAGAACCTTCCAATCCTGGTGAAAGGATCATGAAGTCTTACAAGCAACTGAACAATAAGAAGGCAATAATACTTAAGAGAGAAAAAATAGGAAAGGCACAGTGGCTTTGAATTATGTGCATTTCAGAAACAGCATGTAAAAAAGTTGTGACAGCCTGTTTTGCAAATAGAAATAACTATGAAGTAGTACCTGCACCTTTAATTAAAGCTAAGTACTGTGTTTATATCATCACAATGGAAATTGTCAGATATTATGTTATATACTACATATACCACCAGCCGAAGACAAATTTGTGAGGTGTTCCAAAATGCCACGCGTTGATGCAGATGTATATTTAAAATAGGACATTTCTGTGTTGGGAATTAACTGTATATTTATTTTCAATTAATTCAATTTTGTACAAGAAAAGAACTATCTGATAGGAGAGTTTCGTTTGCAAGGGATTTAAGTGAAAATCTCGTGTTCCAGATGTCTCCATTTGAAGGTGGATGGAACCTTCTCTAAAATAGGGAATACATTTTCTAGCAAGGATCATTTTAACGAAGGGTATTCAATCTAAAGACAAAAATGCAAACAGCCAGGGTTCGACATGCAGCCTTAGTTATCAAGTGACTGACTTCAGAGACTTGGAATCCCTGTTTTCTCACATTGTCCATGATTTGGGGGTAAACCTGCAAGACCTGGCACCTCAGAAATGATTTCCCCCCCCCCCCCCCCAATATCACTTGAGATGATTGTCTGCGATGTTCTGCCTGAGGACGGCATTGCCCACAAGCCATGGCTCATTTGCTGCATGCCAAAGTGAGTGCAAACCTCCTCTCCTCCTGCAGGAATTGGATGCTGGGCAGCACCCACCGTTCCATCCCTCAAGGAAACAGCTCCCTGCATGAATGGGGAGAAAGCAAAACGAATCCACAGAATGAATGGGGAACCCACTTCTCAGAAGCCGGCACCAGGCTCTGAAAAAGCAGCCTCATCACTGTCCCCTCTTTTCAAGGAAAAGCCCCTGCCCCAGAGGAAGAAAGAGACATCCACCCCCTACCCCATCTTTCGTGTTGGTGTGCAAGGCCACCAACGTCTCTAGAGGCACCAGTCCTTCCCTCCTTCGCAGTCAGAGTTCAGTGGGCACAGAGGAGCAACTGCAAAGCCCAGAGGCCTGGTCCTGGTCCTGGTCCTGGCAAAATATCCGATAGGCAAGTTTAGTGAGTCTTCATCCCCACCAGGCAAGGCTAGAAAGAAAAGATACGGGGGAGTATACAGTTTGCCCACATATAAGCCAGTTCTACCAAACCTCAAATATTTCAGGTTACAGTTGAACAAAGAGGCATTTTGATTTAATCTCCATCCGAAAGAGGTAGTGATTATGGCTAAGGAGAAGACAAAGATAACATTGTTTGTCTGAAATTATAGTATTACCAAGTGACACGTGTTTTGCTTCTGCTGCTTGATTTTTGCAAAGAAGGCATTTTATCTTTATGCAGAACAGGAAATGCACCATTTGTTCTGTAGAGTACTAATTAATTCTCCCATTCATCTCCTTTTTAGATTAAAATTATAACCCTTCCCCCCACCCACCCACCTCCACTGCCAATGTGAAAACTTTGGGCATTGATTTCCTTTGGTTCTGACATCTGATCAGCAGCACCAGCCCCTTTTAGGCACCCACAATCTTTGCTTCCCCAAAGCTGGAAACCCCACTGTAGTCTGCAAAATAGAACTGAATTTCTGTCCGTCCGTCCGTCCGTCCCCCATCATTTTCTCTTCCTTTTCTACTCTCCCTCTTTTGTCACACATGCTGCTTCATATCAAGCTTTTCCCCCCCTCCTGTCCTATTTTAAAGTCATTTGGACTGTATAATAATGAAGACCCCGTTCAGTTCTTTTGCCACGTCTTCCATCTGTTTCTTGGTTAATCCTATTTCCTGTACAAAGGTCAGGCACGTAAAAGTCATAGCTTGCAATTTAACATGTTATCAGATGTTTGTTTTCTTTTATTTAGCCCATTCTAGGACATAGTTCAGATATTAATCTTAGAGAGTGTTTAGATTTCATTACCATTTGATCTATATATTTCACTAGCCCAGATGAGTGAAAATAAACAGCTTGTATCAAGTTACACAAATTGCATTTCTGGATGGATTTACTGGAGAATGTGATGGATTGAGGCTTCCATTGTAGTTCCTTTTCACTAACTCGATGAAATAATTCTGCAATCATTATTTATGCTGAGGTTTGGGATTCATATTTATAATTTACCAAGAGATTTCTCTGAAAGCAGTTAATGCTCTCAGTGACTGAATGCTTTCTCTCACCCCCCACCCCCAACCCAAGAAATTACATACACAAAATAGTCAGACTGCTTACTAAGGAGACAGAAACAAAATGCAATTCCAGGGAAAAAAAATAGAGGCAGGTGAAATAAATGTGCAAGGTGTTGTATGCAGTAGGGATCCATGTTAGCTTATTCTGCACTGGCTTCATGGCTTGTGCTTCCTGCTGCCCCATGTGTCTCACATCTACATTTGTTGCTGCACCCACATGCACGCACGCACACACACACACACACAATCTGTGAAGATGCAAGATTAAATTTTCCATTGCCACTTTTGCAGATCACAGCTCGTCGACAATGGAAACATGTTTATGACGAATTAGGTGGGAACCCTGGGAGCACCAGCGCAGCCACTTGCACACGCAGACATTATGAAAGGTAAGAGAGCAGCCCATGAAATGCTTGTCTAATAAATAAGGACAATTTAGTTGGGGAGCCTTCCGAGGCTTTCGCACAGAATTGGCTGGAGGGGCCTGGAAGGCTCTTTCCTCAAGTCCCTGCAAGGGCTTCCACACCCGTGTTAATCCTTTGGTGGGCCTTGATTTCCACCCGTGTTTGTTTCTTCAGTCAGAAAGCCAAAGGCTGGCTTCTGGTTTCTTTCATTTCTCCAAAGCTTTTATTAGCCCGAAGCTCCAGCAATTAAGCAACAGGGCACCAATGGGAGATATTTTAAAGATCTGATTGGCTCTGGGTTGCCTTTTAAAAAAAATATATATGCAGATATATGTAAATGCAGCAGCAGTGAGCTTGTTTGTTCCACTCAGGAGAGGGCGAGATTGCGTGCATTGAGATTGATGGGACCGTTGCATATTCCTTATTCTTTTTTTCCTTCTGTAGCTATCAGCCATTTATCTTTTGAAATGTGAAAGACTTGCAGTTTTATAAGCATTGATTTTATACCCTGAGTTAATAATACTTTCCAAAGCTGGGTATCCAACATACATCAGACAACATGATACGACTGTGCTGCTTTCTTAAAAGAATTTTTTTTAAAAAAAATAAAATATGGCCATTAATAAAACATGCCCGCTTTGAAGCTCTTGAAAGCACAATGTGATCTCATGCTCCAAATCACTAACCAGTTGCTGGAGGGGCCGAGGCGGCTTGTGCTGAGCTCTGCACATGGGACACCGGCCAGGCGGCAGGGCCTCTCCCCAAGTCTTGATCCGTTGGCCACACAGGTGCAAGAGAGGTGCTAGTCCTCATCAAGGGCAGTTGTGTCACATTCTGGTAGAAACCTGGTCTGCTTGGGAAATAAACAGCTGGGAAAGGGGGCTGCCCAGCGCTAACAGCGCTAAGGAAGGGAGGCCAGGGAGTCTCTTGGTGCCCTTTGGGTTTGGGGGATTTTGGGCCCTTCCTATCTGAGGCCAGCCTTGGACCTCCAGGGGAAATTAGAGTCCATTCTTTTATGAGTTTTTCCTCCCGGCTGACTTCACGCGATGAGTAAAGGAACAGAGGCCTCCATCCCATACAAGGTTCTGAACATCTGAACTGATTGGTCAATAATTATTTGAAACCCACCCCCTGCCCCTCTGCCCAGCTAAGCAGGGCTGGCTCCAGTGAGGAGCTGGACAAAGATGCCCCAGGATGGCCGTGTGTAGCCCAGGGAGGAGGGGGGGTCAGGAAAGCTGTTGGGGAAAGAAGGGACAAAGCACCCCGTCCTCTTGCGGGGAAACCCTTCCCAGATGCTACCACATCTTTGTGAGAAGCCAGGTGCGACTTGGCATCTTCTTAATGCTCTGAATTGCAAGGGAGCAGCCCCTGACCTGCAGGTGGGTTCAGTCCCGAGGCTGAAGAACATCAGCTTCCTGTCCAAAGTTATGAAAAAGGAGGAGGAATCATGGCCTGTCCAGCCTGGGGCTCCCCCTCCGGTACTTGTTCTCTCCAAGCCCGCCTCCTCTTGGTTCCCCTTCTGCCATCTTTAATCCTCAAATTATGAACACACACACACACAAACACACACACAAACACACACAGAGCCTGTATTGTGGAGGCAGCCTCTGCTCTGCCCCCAGACAGGCAGAAGAAGATGGTTTTTGGAACACTTTGTTGGCGTATTCCTGTTTCCGTTGTGGCTGGTGGCGGCTGTGAGTTTCCTAAGTGTTGTTCTGGGCAGGCATCAGGACCTTTTGTGGGACTTCTTAGGGAGTGTAAGTGCAGGCCACTCAGCGGACCTTTCTGTGGAATCCTTTACGGTGCACAAATGCAGAATCATCGCCGCAGCTCCAGCTGCTGTTGGTTGCCTTCAATCAGTGCAAACCCTTCACCAAAAGGTCTTTGCCGGCCCAGTTTGGCTTCCAGCCTCTGTCTCTGTCAGGTTTCAGCATCAGTACCAGCTCTTGCCTGTGGTGACCTAGTGCTCTACGTAGATGCTTAGATTACAGGGGATGTCCTAGTATTATTAGGTAGAAAATGCGCCCCCCCCCCCAGGAAGGAAACGTTGCTGTGGTACCAATTCCACACGCACAAAGCGCACAAGGCACTATGTTGATTGTGCAGCTTTATTTCTCCGCTGGGATCGCCTAAGGCAGGGGTCTGCAACCTTAAACACTCAAAGAACCATTTGGACCCGTTTCCCACAGAAAAGAAAACACCAGGAGCCAATAATTTAACAACCGGTGTGACTGGGTGGGTGTGGCTAACTCTGCGTCACTCACTCCCCCCCCCCCCCAGTCACCTCCTGCTCTGGAATATGGAGCGAGTTCATGATTCCTTCAATCAGTCAGTCAACCAATTTCTATAGCTACCAAACTCATCCATTAAACCTAATGTAGGCCTGATTTGATTTGTCCTTGCTGTGATGTGATGTGTGTGTGGTGTGTGTGTGTGTATATGCAGAAGTATCCCAAAGGATTTGCTCTTGAGTAAATGCACCTCTTTGCACTGAAGGGGGCTCGGGCAGGACTGCATGTGATTTGCCACCTGTCCGTTCATCCTTTTCCCCCTCCACCCTCTAGGATGAAAAGTGGGAAGGATACTCAGAAATTTTGAAGGAAAGAAACAAGTGGAGCTGAACTTTTTAGATATTGGATGTGGCTCACTCTGCCTTTCTCATTTGTAATAGGCACATTTGTCCATGAAATCTCACACCATATTTGGTTTAAGTGCGTATCATTTATTAGCATCTCATGGCAAACTTAATAAATGAAATCAATAAGTATCAATAGCATTGACAAAACCACCTTACACGCTCACATCCTGTGATGACACCTTTAAGGCCAGCAAACTTCTCCCTCTTGCCTCTCCCAGGTCCTTGAATTCAAGAATTCAAGGGTTGGACAGAAATTCCACGTCCAGTCTGGACATCTGGATGACTGGGTGACCAAGCATAATAATAATAGCAGCAGATGCTAGATGCTGTCACACGCCAGCTCTCAAATCCTGTCAAACAGCAGTTCATCACAGTGAAACAAAAATATTACATACTATTGCACACCAGTTATCAATCTTGTCAAATCCTAAGCGCCATTGCATGCCAACTTATGAAAACTGTCAAATGCCATCTGTCAAATCTGAAATACTGATATTGATGTTTAAAATCAAGTGTATTGATTTGCAGACCTTAGACCTCAATTGCTTGATGCCTGTTGGAATTCTGAGGGAAATTTCAAGTCACGTTCATGATATAAACCTAAAACCCAAGACAAGAGAAAGGTTGGTGTTTCATTTCTCCTCTCCATCAGGACTTACTAGGGTTGGCCAGGCCAAGCTACCCCACACAGGTGCCTCTCTCTGTATTCCTGGAGGGACCAAGGTCCAGGTTTTTTGTGTAGGTTTCTCCAATTTGTGATTGTAAGGTTTGGTCTGTGCATGAACTCTGCCTGGAGATGTACCCCACGTGCTAAACCACAAATTCATCCACCGTGATTTGTTGAATCAGTCCTATTGGGCTGAGTCACAGAACATACTAAAGGAAAAATATCTCAATGGTATTGTGATTTAGGGACTGCAGGATGCAAGCCCAGCCTCAGTTTGCTTGCATATATTTTAGTGGCTTGTAAATTCCTTCTCTTATCTGAATATTTCTATTCTTAAGGCCTTTCTTTGCACTATGGCAAATTTATTTTTGGCCACATAATCCCATTGCATAATGCTACCATCCCACCTGGTAGCTCCTCTCTGCTAGCATTCTGTGGATCTGGGGCACTCAGAAACGTTACTCACTCGAGGAAGATGATTTCCTTTGGCTGTTTCTTGGAATAAGCCTCAGGGCTGGTTAGCAATGTTCATAGTGAAAACATCCTAAAGGAAGTGAAAACATCCTAAAGGAAGAACTTGGTGCTCCCTGCACAGCCAAAAAGCTGGTCTTTTCTTCACTGCTCCAGCTGATTTTGTGGCCTAAAGATCTTCCTTTTAGCAAAGAGGCTCCTTCGCCTGCACAACAGCCGGGGATTGCTTAGGACACAGGTCGGAGGCCTGTCCTCTTCCAGTGTCCAGCATTCTTCTCACCCTGGAAGAAGGGAAGGGTTTGGGCACCGTCGACCAGGAGCCACTAAGAATTTGCAACAAGTGAAGCAGGAACTTTCTCCTAGATTTCAGGAAAAACTGCAACCAGTGTCAGTCCTGCCCCAACTTTGTCCCTTAAGTAAGAACGACCCTCAACTCCATTCGGTGTGAAAGGTTTACTTTACTGAAGGCCAAGTGGATTACAGTATTCAGTATAGCGAAGCCAGAACTGAAGTTCAGGCACCAAACTTCCCTAGTTAACTTTTCCCTGTTTGTCCCTTCCCATTGGTGATCCCTCATTGTCCAATCATAGTCATGTAAAATGATTTGGGAATGGTCTTTTCGGTTGTAGAATAGGCAGTTTGTGTTTCAAGAAGTTTAATCAAAATGCAGTTAAAAGTTGTAAGCCATCATTGGGAGTGTGTGTGTGTGTGTATGTATGTATGCACACACACACACACACACACCAGGAACCAGAAATTGCCCCACAGGAGCAGATAGAGGTAAATCCTAAGAGAGGCAGGAAATACATCACAGAACTATGGAGATGAATGCTAGAGAGGGATAGTGCTACACAGCAGACATAACTCCAGTTTGGAGATGCATGCCTTTCCCACCTGTCTGACCTTGAAGTTATGTCTCTAAAAGATATGATGTTAGCCTCCCCATAACTCCTATCTAGCTCCCTGCCCCCAAAGTTCATGGCAGACTGGCAGCTAGCAAATGTGAAGCACAGGCAACCAGTTCTATTCACACAACCAAGCTGGGCTGAAAGGGAAACGGAGTCCTGAAAGAACTACTAAGACATATTGCTCCTTGGTGAAGAAACTGAATATGCAATGTCCAGATCAAAAAGTTGATTTAGTTAAGGCCTTAGAGATAACTCTGGAATAGGAAGTTGAAGAATTCCTTGGAAGAAAGCGGTGGCAACC